ATCCTCTGCCTGGTGTCTGCTGCCTCCCCTGCTCTGTTCTATTGCTGGATGTGGAGCACCCCCAGCAAGGGAGAGGGATCGGGGGAGGAGACTGAGATCCCCTCTGCCACGGATCCCCAGGATAAGTGCTACGGCCCCAGCTTTGGAACAGTCTCTGGGAGGAGCCCCTTCAATGGGCCAGACCCCCAATGTCAGCCCACTCTTCCTGCAGGGTAAGCCATGCGGCTTCACCAACTCCTCAGGCTGGACCTCTGGGCCTTCAGCCCTCCTGCCTCACAACATGAGCTGTGTGCGGTGTGTCCAACTGAGACAGACCCCTGAGGGAGACTTCTATGATCTTAGGGAGCAACACACCTCTGCAAGCACCTGCAGCGACACTCAGCCACCTCTGTCACTGTCAAGCAACTGGGTTTTAGTCCACTGCTCTGCCCCACAGCACAGGGAGACCTTGGTTAGCACAGAGAAATGAAGGTTACAGCCATAAGCACCAACTTTCCCCAGCACCGGTGGGTGCTCGCACCCCCTGGCTCTGCCCCGACTCCATCCTTTCCCCGCCCCCATTCCAACCCCTTTGCCAAAGTCCCCGCCCGAACTCTGCCCCCTCCCTGCCTCTATTGGATCCCTTGTCCAAATCCTGGCCCCGCCTCTTCCCCGAGCATGCTGGGTTCCCCCTCCTCCCCCTCCCTCCCAGCGCTTGCCATGCGAAACAGCTGTTTCGCGGTGCAAGTGCTGGGAGCTAGGTGGAAAAAGAGGGCACGCAGCGCACTCAGGGCGTAGGTGGAGGTGAGCTGGGGCGGGGAGCTGCTGGTGGGTGCTCAGCACCTGCCAATTTTTCCCTGTGGGTCCTCCAGCCCTGGAGCACCCACGGAGTTTGTGCCTATGGTTACAGCATTGTCTATTCGGGGTAGCTGGTGCCCAGCCCTGCTGTGCAAACCCCATTGTTCAAGCTCTGTCTCCCTGTCCATCTGATCTGCTTTCTCAGACTCCCGGGTGTGCCCCCCACCATAGGCGCCGTGGGGCTAGAGCACTCACAGAAAAAAAATAGTGGGTGCTCAGCACCCACTGGCAGCCCCGTGGATCAGATCCTCCCTCTCCTCTCCTCCCACCCGCCGGCGGCCCGGCCAATCAGCTCCTTCCCCTCCCTCCCAGCACCTCCTACCCACTGTGATCAACTGTTCAGTGGTGGGCAGGGAAGCAGGGGCAGGAAGAGGCGGGGTAAGGTGGAGACGTGGTTGAAGGGGTGGAGTGAGGGTGGGGCCTGGGACGGAGCAGGGGTTAAGCACCCCCCAGGAAGTCAGCTCCTCTGCCCCCCACTGCTTCCTGCAGCCAACACGTAACTTCCACTTCACCCCTCCCCCACCCCTAGTCCTTTGTTCCCCGAGCTGGGGCGATGCAGCTCAGTCGCAGAGGCGGGGAAATCCATAGCTCTCCGGGGGGCTGGTTGATGTTCCTATGTCCAGGCAATTGGACTTGCCATTGTCTTCTGAGGACCTCAGGCCCCAGACAGCGACGTGGGCAGCTTAGCCTGCCCCGAGAGCAAACACTCCCTTTTCACCTATTGCGTAACAACACTGCAGGTAGGGAAACTGAGGCACAAATAGGCTTCATAAAAAAATTACAAAAAAATCCCCCCCAAAAATTTGTTAGTCTCTAAGGTGCCACAGGTACTCCTGTTCTTTTTGCGGATACAGACTAACACGGCTGCTACTCTGAAACTTGCCAAAAAAATCCCAGTTTGTCACACACCCCCGCCCCCACCCCCACCCCCCAACAATACCTCCTAGATGTCTGGTGGGAACGACGGGGAATTTCCTGCTCAGCTTCAGCCAACAGGCAGCTCCCCAGGACTGACACTCCGGGCCCACCCCAGCCCGCCCAGGGCTACTGGGGAGTGTGAGAAATGGTCCTAGCCTCCCCCAGGGCTGAGCTCTGCCTGGAAGGGTCTGTCTGCACTGCAGAGTGAACCCTGGGGATCGGCACCCGGGTTAGCCTGGGCTGGGCGCAAGGAGCCATGCTGCTGAGCCTGACCTCACTTACTGTGTCCTCACTGGTGCTGCTGAGTCTCTAGGATGTCTGGGAGCACGTTCCATGGCTGGTGGTGCCGCCGTGAGCTGAGCTATTCTGTGTTTCTTTCCCAGCGATTCGTGGGGTACCCGGCCTGTCTTTCACAGGGGAATTGTGGGAAGGCACTGGAGAGCTATTTTCCCTCAGGTCAGGCTGGCAGTGATGATGGGGGGAGGGTTTTCACTTTCCTCTGCAGCACGTGGATGCGGGTGACGTACCAGGATTGTTTGGGGGTATCTCATTGCATCGTTTCCCTGCATTGTGGGGCCTCGGGCGCTGGTACCTCGGTGCCTCCTCTTCTCTGCCTGTGGCACATAAATAGTCCAGTCTGCTGTAGGCTGTCCTGCTTTGGGCTAATGTTGGTTGTTGGG